CCCGGTTGTAACCCAGCTCCTAGACAATGCTCCTTCAGCTTTCATGTCCAAACCCACGTGAGAAAGATGTTCGCAGAACACTGAAGTCAACAGATGAAGTGCACTGGGCTGACAGCCCCAGTTTTAGCCAGGAGTCCCTGGGTGCTGTGAAGGATTTGAGGGACCCTTGATTCCGTACACATTTGGAAACCGAATCCACCGGGAGATTACCTGGTAGTAGTAGGAACTTTTACGTAATGTATATTCTGAACTGTTTCAGTAGACATTTGAAAGGGAAAAGGTTAGGTACAAGAAAAACAAATCTACCTGCTCTTCATATTTAGGAACTGCTGGGACCCACCTCCTTACCTGGCATTTACATTTGTTTTCATTTGGTTTTATTTGTTTGTGGTTTGTGTGTGTGTGTGTTTGTGTTAAAGTTTTTATTTTTATGTACATTGGTGTTTTACGTGCATGTATGTCTGTTATAGACTGTCGTGAACTTCCATGTGGTGCTAGGAATTGAACTTTGTTCTTCTGGAAGAACAGACAGTGCTCTTACCTACTGAGCCATCTCTTCAATCCCATCGTTTGGTAAAGGTTTGAAGTGTAAATTTTAATGAATGCATTTGTATGGGCAGTTTTCAAGCTTAGCTACATGTTAGAATACTTGGGAATGGAGGAGTGAGGGAGTAAACAGTCCCTAGTGGTTGCTGTCTCACTGAACTGGAACGCTGCCTGAGTGATAGCTTTGTGTGTGTTGTTTGGGGAAACAGTCTCGAATTTAGAGTTCACATCTGTATGTTTTTTTGTGTTGTTAGAGAATAAGCCAGTGACCTGGTGCCCAGGCACATAAATGCAGCTCTTTTGCCAATAATGAGAGTGTTTTCTCCTGTACTCCTGCAATATAACCACCAGAAAGAAGCAGAGATCTAATGCTATAACTGCCATTCTCTGGAGGCTAAGACAGGAGAATTGCCTCAGATTTGAGGCCAGTCTGTATATAGTACATCCAGGACAGCCTGGGCTGCTTCAGTGAGACACTGCCTCAAAATAAATCAAAACAAAATGAGAGTCAATATTGAAGTCTTTATGGCCGAAGGACTGCCTGATGCCTTTGGTCTTGTCTCCTTCGTTTCCCTCTGCTCACAGCAGGTTTCTAGACTTTCCTTGACTTTGATGCCTTGAAACCTGGGGAGTTTTCAAGCCATTTATTTTGTAGTTTGCCTCTTAGCTCTTAAGGTGCAGTTGTCTGATAGATCCCCAACACGTTCCCATGATGTTAAACAGGCAATGGTCTAGGTTGTATCTCCAGCCTCCTGCTATTACTCTTTCCCCTTTTAAAATTGAAAAGTATTTTGTGGGTAGGTGTTTTTAAACTCTTTGAATGTTCCATTCCCCTCTCTCATAATTTATTCATTTCTTAGGAAATCCTTTGTCTTTTGTGTTTTACTAATTTATATAATGGATTATACCTCTGCTAGCATTACTTACAGTGATCTTATGTTGTCCCAGATAGTCAGATCCCCTTCAGACTATCCTTTTTAAGGACTAACTGCTTTATGGCAAGCAGTCTGTTTCATATTAAACTTTCCTGGCCCTAGCCCTTGAATTAGCATTTTGGTTCCCCACCCTCAAATAACTCGGGTAAAGAATGGTATTTAAAAGCTGCAAATCTTTGGCTCGTTACTATCTAAGTATTCCTTGTTTTGTAGCCTCATGTTTGCAGATATGGGGGTGGGCAGAAATAGGTAGCTAAATTGGCAGACATTTATGTGTATATGTTTGCGTTTATTAAAAACAATGAGTACTTGTTGGTAACCAGTTTACATCCAACTCCTAAAGCCATCTCTTTTTTTTTTTTTTTTTGTGTCTGTTTGTTTGTTTTCCCTTTGCATTTTTGTAACTTTGTCTTTTTGAGGCTTGAGAAACCTGGCTGCCATTGTCTTCCTTATTGACACCCATCTGTATGCACATGCCCCCCCATTGCCACTAGAGTGCTGTCCTCCTGACTCTGCTTGATTTTGAGTCAGCACAGGGATGTTTTAAAGCTCCCCAAATGATATTTCTGTGCAGCCTAGCTAGGGAAATACCTGAATTAAGAGGTTAGTAAGTTCCATACTGTTTGGTTCAAGTAAGTTGGTGTCAGGCAAGGTAAAGGAAATTTTTCCTAAGAAAGTGAAAAGTAAGAGAAGACTTAAATTATCCCAAGATGCTGTTTGACAATGAAATGAAAGAAAAAAAAATCAGGGAGAAAGCAAAGCTTTTCTCCTAGAAAGCTTTGACAAATATTTGCTTTGGAAATAAATGTCCTTCTAGAAAGCATGAATTTCATTCTCTTTCCCTGAATTAGCTGTTCATAGGGAAAGAATTTGAAAAAGATTAGCTGTTTTTTGATAATGTATCTTTTTAATGAATTTCTTTTTCGGTGGGATCATTTTTAATATAAATCTAATTTTGGAAATTTTAGACTTAGGAGAAAAATAACAACCTATTTTATCAGAGCACCAAATATTTAAGCAGGAGATGTCCAGACTTTGCTCCTTTTCTGTAGCCAGATTCACTATAAAATATGGGAGCTGAGTGGTAATGAGAGGGAGCCTCCTCTGCTTTTGCTTGATGAGAGAAAGCACAGCACCCCTAAAGCCATCTGTAGTGGGGACTGTGGCCAACCCCTTAGGTAGTTAGCACTTAATCTGCCCCACTTTTTTTCTTTAAAAAAAATTATTATAATTTTATGTGCATAGATGTCTTGTCTGCATATATGTCTGTGAATTGTATGAGTACCTGGTACCCACAAAGGCCAAAAGAACATTGATGGAGCTGCCCGTGTGAGTGCTAGGAATTGAACCTCAGGTCTTCTGCATTAAGCAGCTAGCACTCTTAACCCCTAAACTCTCTCTCCAGCCCTGGCCATAGTGTACTGCTACAGACTCACGGTAGTGCACACTGTCCTAGTCGGGGAATGCATTGCTGGACTGGATCTACAGGAGTTGGAGACAAACTTGCCTTTGGTTATGTTTTCACATGGAAGTTAGAATTAGAGCTTGTTTTCCACATAAAACTTTTGTATATTTATGCCCGGGGTGAAGGAGAAAGTCTGATATTTGTGTCTGTGGATTCAGTTACAGCTTAACAGAAAAATAAATTTTTTAAAATATTATAGCTTGGGTTGGGTTTGTTCCTTTTTTGTTTTGGTTTGGTTTTGGGTTTTTTGTTGTTGTTTTGACAGAGTTCCGATATGTAGCCTGTGCTAGCTTATAACTCAGTAATCCTCCTCACTCCACTTCCCAAAGCATCTCATATGCTGGGATTGCCCACTGCCACTTCTGGTATAGACAATTCTTGTTTTTGTAAGTAAAGCATTGATTACCTATTCATGAGTGCCCACTTTAGCTCTTCCCCTGTTTCTTTTGTGTAGGCTGAGTACGTCTGACTAGACCTGCCTTCTTTCCTATGCTTGAGTACCTCTGGAACCATTTTAGTGAGTTTTGCCATTTGCAGACCTGTTAGTTCCTTAACTGTTTCTTTAGTCTCTTTTATCTTGGTCATGTTTAGATGATGTGTGTGAAGTAATGAATTGATGTGTTATTACCTGAAATCCTAATTGCCATAGGCTGTGTTCTCTGCTGTGGAGAACTAGGAACCAGGTCTCTGAATGTTCTCCCCACTGAGGCTCAGTAAGCTGTCTAGGGCTTTTTTACTAGTGAGAACCCTCTATTTGAGGTTATACTCTTGGTGAGTTGGCCTTGTTTCTCTGTAGATACATAGAATGAACTTTGGGTTTCTTACATAAATTGTGTATCTTAAGATTTAGCACAGTTCCTCAACTGAAGGTCTATTAGTGTATATTGTTTTTATGCTAATAGGTGGAGCAGGTCAACTGATGTAATTTGTATTTGTAGGAGAGAGATGCAATTGTAAACCCACTCCACAGAGAACACTTTGATTCCCAGGACTCTGAGTGCCTTCCTTAAAAACACATGTATTGGGCTGGGGAGATGGCTGGGTGAGTAAAGTGCCTGCTGAGCAAGCCTGAGGACCTGAGCCAGATCCCCAGCACTTCCGGGTTTTAGTGGTGGTGGTGGTTATTGCTGTTGTTACTAAGTCCAGGCTATGCTCCACAACTGTAATTGCAGCTCTAGGACATGTGGTTAGGGGTGAGAGACAGGTAGATCTCTTGGGCTTGACAGCCACCGGTCTGCTGGAAACAGAGCTCTAGGTTCAGCTGCAAAAACAACAACAAAAATCAGGTGACAGGGCTAGAAGAATGGCTCAGTGGTTAAGAGCACTTGTTGCTCTTTCAGAGGACCTAAGTCAATTCCTGGTATTCACAAGGTGGCTCACAGACATTCATAACTCCAGTTCTAGAGATCCAGTGCCCTCTTCTGGCCTCTTCAGATACCAGGTACACATACAGTACAAACAAAACACCCAAACCCCAAAATAAAGTGAAATTTAACAAAAGAAAAAGGTACAATATGAAGGAAGAAACCCAAGGTCTACCTTTGACTTACACACATATACACACACACACACACACTTACACTCACACTCATAGTAAATATGTACAGCATATGGTATTAATAAATTTATTTGAAAAATTTAGAACAGAAATTTATATGTTCACCATTCCAAAGAGATCATGGGCAGACACCTAAATTATAAAAATATCTATACCACAAGTGAATTAACTTATCTGTATTATGTTTTAAATATTACTAGAAGTCAACTATATATTATAGTCAAAACAAACCTATTACTAAATAAAAGTGCACCCAATCCTGTGAGTGTGTGTATACAGATATTATAGAAATGGCTTTTAGGCATCTTAGAAACCAAGCCTAACATAATAAATGTTTTGTGAAAGGGATGGCAAACTCTGATAGGAGAGCACCTAAGGTCATGGGTTTTATATGTCGTTTTAGTGTAAGCAAGGTATTAATGCTGTGGTCTTTGCTACAGAAGTGGGGTGTGAATATACACGTATAACCTTTCTGGTGTGTTTCTTCTTTTTATAGAGAGAAGGAGCAAGAAAGGGAAGAACAGTTAATGGAAGACAAGAAAAGGAAGAAAGAGGATAAAAAGAAAAAAGAAGCCACTCAGAAGGTGAGTTGAACATTGAGTCTGTCTTTATATCTGCCAGTCTTCCATCAGTGACTGCCTTACTTGAATACCTGACATAGGAAGACACACCTGAGGTGTTCATTAGTTTATTTGAAAGTTAAAAATTTGAAAGTAGAAAAAGTTTGACACACATATTACTATCAGGGGTGATAAAGTATTGCAGCTTATTGTATGAAGGCACTAATAAACAATATTAAGAAAGTCTCAACTCATGTCGTTTTGCTATCTGAACCATAATTTAGTATCATCTTTTCTCCAAGTTTATAGACAAACTTTTAAAAACATGCTCAAGTATGCACTATTGGTTTTTTAGCCTACCCATGGCACTGTAGTGTAGGAAATTTTGCTTTTTAATAATCTCATCAGTAAACTGCCCTCTGACAGGTTCTAGTAGGCCAGACATGGAGGCATGTGTTTGTAATCCCATCACTATGGAGGCAGGAAGATGCTCAGTTTGAGGTTTTCCTGGGTTACATAGCTAGTTCCAGACCAGCTTGAGCTGCGTAATGTGACTCTGTCTCAAAAATAATGAAACAAATGGTATCTTGCATAGTGCCTTGGGGGCTAGAGCATTGCATAGCTTGAGGAATGTGCTTGGAGGGGAAAAGATACACTAAATGAAAAGGCAGAGATGACAGCTGTCAGGTCCCAGTCAAAATGTTTGGCTGATGGGCAGACTATTGGAAGCAGACAGTGCAGCCTTCTGCTTGAGAGCATAGCCCCTATCCCAGCGCGCACGCCTCACTCCTGACTGGCCCAGCTTTCTTTGCCCTGCTCCACCATCCCGTTAGTAATGTGTAACTTGCTCTGGCTCTGCAGGGTCACTGTGTAGCTTTTTCTGGAAACAAATTTGCTGGCCAGGTCTACTGTGGTTATGTGCAGATTTGGGAAGCAGGGCCTTATTGCAAGTCAGTCAGCTTTGAGGGAACCTGCTAGTACTGGTTTTAAGAGAGAACCATTCACATAGAAGAGTAAAGGCTGTCAGACCTAATGTGACGGAGAAGGGATGTACTGCAGAATTTCTCCAGCACCACTGAATATGCATGTCCTGTGATTTCATTATTTGAAGTAATATATAAGTAGATCGTTTATGAGGACCAGCATTTGAGAATTCTTGGAAATACTCTCAGAATTGGTGGCAGATAACCCTGCTATATTAAGTATATGATTGTAATTTATTCTTTATGACTTAATTAAAAGGAACAGACAATTATTTAGTGCTGTATCAGACTGCTATGTGATTTAAAATTTTGCCTGCTTTTAATGGTGTTTCTGTTACGTTGATAGTGGTGAGTCTTCTATCATCTTCATGCTGTTAGAACATTTGCTTCCAATCTTAGCCTATCAGAGCTGTCTATAATTCCAGAATAAAGAATGTGAATAGAGAAAGCAGGTAACGAGCCTGGTGTGGTCATGTATACATGTAACCCCACCATTTGGGGTAGAGGCAGAATGGTTGGAAGTTCACATGGTCCTCAGCTACATAGTGAGTGAGTTCTATTCCAAGTGGGCTACATAAACTTTTCTCAGACGGGGAAGAGGAGTGGGCCTATTGTTCTTCATTTGGATACATAGCCACCTTCCCTGTCAGACTCAGAGAAGTACAGGTGCAGTAGTGTTGGCGTGTTCCTTTTGCCCTATGTATGCCCTTTGAGCTCCTGCCCTGTGCCTTGCTGACCCCCTCCCCCCAAAAAAAGTCTCAAGTGAACTTAGAACATTTTCCTTTCAGCCACTCACATTTTATCTACTAAATTGGTACACAGACTTCACCATCTGTGGGAATGAAGCTAATAGGGACCTGAAGAGTCTGGAGCGGGGCTCGTTGACCCGATGACAAGCAGAGAATGATGGTTTTAGTCAGTATTTATTCTGTCTTGATTCACCACATAGCCAAGTGCTTGTTGCATTAATGTCACTGGGGAGGCAGAGACAGGCAGATCTCTCTTAGTTTGAGGACTTAAAAGTGAATTCTAGGACAGCCAGAGTTACCGTGTGTGTATAAAATTTTTGAATATTTATATAAATATATATCTTTAACATTTATATATAATATATATTTTATATATAGTGTCTTGTGTTTATAAATCAGATATAGTGTACACTTTTATTGTGTATCCTAGAAATAAGAAATTTATTTGAAATAAAGGAGAATGTTTACATTTGAGAGTAAATGTACAGAGCGTGCAGTTTATACAGCTGGGCAGTCTGTGTGTGTATCTGCATTGAAGCCTGAGTGAGAAGTAATAACAAAGAACAAACCTGGAAATTTCAAGGGATTAATTATGACTAATATATGAATTCAGGCATCTTGGTTGGGCATGATGATGCCTGCCTATAATCCAATTCTTGGCAAGAATATTGGGAGTTCAAAGGAGCTGCTGAAAGAAAGGAAGAGGGAAAGGATAAGTTAACAGAGTCTAGGCTAACAGAAGCTGGTGCTTGTCTTTGACAACATTTTGCTGTACTAAGCCACTGTATAATTTTAGAATTAAATTTCAATTTAGCAATTTTAATGAAAGAGCACAAAGCTTACCCTGTGATTGTCTTAGTGGTCCCAGTATTACTGTAAAGACAGCTAGAAGGCATAAAATGTGCTTTCATGGAAAGGATTGTAGAGAATGTGCCAGAAGTTGTACTCTGTGGCCATTATACAGCTGCCATGGCTTGCTTTCTTTCCTCATTGTTTTTTAACCACCTCTTTGTGTCCGCTTTCTTCTTTAAACTGGATATAAATTTCTTGACATCATATTTATATTTATGTCAACAGCATCATGTGTCTGTGTGTCTGGTACCCAGGAGTTGCTCAGAATGTTAGTTTACTAAGTGAATGGTCACGAATGTGGCGGTGGGCTGAATGTTTAACTTGGTAAAGGAGTGTTGTGGGTTCCATCCTCAGCACTGGATATAGAAGAAGCATGAATGATGCCAATGTCATTTTATTAAAACATTGACTTTCATTTAGGGCTAAAATTAAATTTCTTCCACACAGAAATTAAACATGAGCCCCTTTCCACTGTGTTCAATGACAGTTTACTCTTTCCAGAACCATCCCTAAGTAAACCATGTTAAATTCCCATTCATCAGAGAGGTGTAAAGAAGGACTCCATTCATTCATTAGGCTGACACTGCAAAAGGAGCGTTGTGTAATGTTGGCAGGACGTAGACTCTCACTGTCCAGCTTTTCGCCATCTGAGAATCGACTGTTGTAACAGCACCCACATTTAAGACATATTCAACATGATTTAGATTTGTTGCTTACAAATGGGAAAAGCATTTACTTCCATACAACTAATCTTCAAAATGGCATTCCAAGAAATAGTTACAATGAAATAAAACCTAAATTGCCTTCAGGAGTTGGTATGTGAATAAAACCCATTCATTCTTGGATAATTGGGGATTATAGAAAAATGTAAAAGCTCAATTCACTAGAATTGAGCTCTGTAGTAATTAGTAGTGGGTAGCTGGTTCACTTTAAGATACCTCCACAGATTTCAGTGTAGTACAGTTAACCTGTCCTTTAATGCAAAAAAACATAAGAAACACTCTAGGGAATCCTAAGAATAGATGGTTTAGGTTAGATTCAGAGCCTAAGTGTGCTCAAATTTGTTTTGAGTGCTGGCCAGGTACAGGACATACCCTCCAAAGATGTACTGGCTGTTTTTGTGTGTCAACTTGAGACAAGCTGGAGTTATCACAGAGAAAGGAGCTTCAGTTGAGGAAATGCCTCGTCAAGATCGAGCTGTAAGGCATTTTCTCAATTATTGATCAAGGTGGTGGGGAGGGCATTGTGGGTGCTGCCATCCCTGGGCTGGTAGTCTTGGGTTCTATAATAAAGCAAGCTGAGCAAGCCAGGGGAAGCAAGCCAGAAATAACATCCCTTCATGGCCTCTGCATCAGCTCCTGCTCCCTGACCTGCTTGAGTTCCAGTCCTGACTTCCTTTGGTGATGAACAGCAATCTGGAAGTGTAAGCTGAATAAACTCTTTCCTCCCCAACTTGCTTCTTGGTCATGATGTTTGTGCAGGAATAAAAACCCTGACTAAGACAAAAGATGACCATATTTTCATGAGTAGCAGTAATCCAGAATGATTACTAGCCAGATTACTCCCCCTGTTCCTCCCTTAGTTCCTCTCAGATCCACCCCTCCCAATATCCCAGTATCCATCGTCCCCATTTTTTTATAGCCTATGATTGTAATTTGTGCTGCTTATGTTGTCAAGTGTGTGGGGCCATCTTCTACTATGCCCACTAAAAACCTACCATGGGCCTCACTCACTCTTAAAGAAAGCCACTCTGACTCTGAATCGACAACTGTTAGTAGGTCCTGGGCTCAGGGTGGGGTCTCAAGACACCTCCCTCCTTCATGCTGGATTGTTTTTTTTGTTGTTGTTGTTGTTTTTTTGTTTTTCGAGACAGGGTTTCTCTGTGTAGTCCTGGCTGTCCTGGAACTCACTCTGTAGACCAGGCTGGCCTCGAACTCAGAAATCCGCCTGTCTCTGCCTCCCAAGTGCTGGGATTAAAGATGTGCACCGCCCGGCTCATGCTGGATTGTTAACTGGATTGATTTTATTTGGGTCTTTTCTTGCTGCTGGGAATTCATGAGTGCAGGGGTTCTGTCAGGTTCCAAACTGTTTGGTCCTCATGACTTCTAGCTATTACAGTCTTTCTACTTTTTCTCTGTGGTCCCTGGGCATTGAGGGCTTTGAGTTTATTATTAATAACTCTTCTTACACAGTTAATCAGTGTAAATGTACTTTAGCAGACTGACAGTTTAGAAAAGTGGGCCAGAATCTCATAGTCTTAGTGCTGTAATCCATCCATGGCTAGAATTCTGGCTTGCTCGCTTTGGGATGTCTTTCCTTTGTGGCTTTGTTTTTATATTATATGGAGTATATGATAAGTGTCTCCATGTTGTTGTCCCCACCCTATAGAAACATCAGAAGCAATTTCCATCTGTCTTCAAAAGATTTCCAACCCCCCTCAAATTCATTACTGTATGTAGTCACCCATCATTTTAAGAGTTTTTCATAAAATCTTAGTTATGACATAAAGAAGCACTTTTAATAAGGCACTCAAAATTTTGTCAAATTTTGCACAGTTCAGTCTTATGGCTCTGCTTTATAAATTTTGATGATGACAGCCGATTTCAATTGAACTTTGGGATTGCTATCTGATTTTAACCTTAACCAAACCCTGTTAGAAGAGATAGACTGTATCTCCACCAAGTAAGTGAGTCGATGAGTCGTCATCACAAAGGCTTGATTGCAAATCTCTCTTTGCAGCTGAAATTCATGAAGAGTCCCTCAGGCTTTTTAGGTTTGAGCTCAAACGTATTTGAGTTCATACTCAGGAGGGAATCTTTTTGTATTAATGGTGAATTGAGTTTCTGGCCACATCTATTTGACTTTCTAAAATTAGAGCAGTCAAAATGGCTAACAATATTCCAATATAGTCTATGTCATTTAGCGAGTGGGATGGTGATGGCTGCTGTTCCTGATCTTGTTGTTTTAATGTGGATCTCCTCCAAATCCTAGATGTGTGAGTATGGCTCAACAGCTCTAGAAGGATATCTGAATTGACTCCTAGCTGTTTTTAGATTTCAACTAAGCCTGAGTACTGCATATACTCACAACTTGAATTGCCTAAGTTAATAAAATTAAAACAATAATACAATACAGTACTGAACTAAAAAGCAGATTTTATTTACTTATGTCTGTTATTTCTTTTGCAGGTCACGGAACAAAAAACCAAAGGTAAGATTTTTATTCTCTCTGTGTTTAGATTTCACAGTGCTGCTGACTCAGCCTGCAGTCCACTCAGAAGAGAGTGGGTGCACAGTAATTAAGGTGGGTTGTTTGCAGTCATTGCAGAGCAATAATGACAAACTAAAAGCACTTGGAATTGTGTTTCTAGTTGGCCTTATATTTTTAGGAAACAAAAGAGTAAATACTTTGTTAAAAAAGTGTGTGAATCATGATTTTGAACTGAACTCTTTCAGAACTTTTTACTAAAAGTAACAAATTATCAACTCCTAGTTTCAGATGGGAATTATGGAGAACACTTCCCAGTCTTGATCCATGGAATACGTTGTACATTTTGTCTAAAAATGGGATGTCACATCCAGAATGTTCACACTCTTCTGAACTACAGCCTGGACTGTTCCATTTAAATGATGCCAGATGTTGAATAAGTTAACTTCTAGAAAAACTGGTGTGTTGCCAACAGAACAAGTGACTCTTAGGTCTTTCTCAGTCTAATAGCCTGTCCTTTTCTGTGGTTCTTTCTTGCTTTTCTGGTTCTAATTATGTAATTTTATTTAATAATGGTTGCTTTGGATTAGCAGGCCTTAAGAGTGGGAGATGGAATTCCTTTAGATAATACTTATAGTTGAGCACCTTATATATGTGGTTGTTAATCAGGTGTGTATTAGAATAATATACAGAGTCGTCATAACACATAAGCCCAGGCTGGTGCCAGACCTTGATGTCTCTAGGCTGGAGCACTTGTAGGTGTATATGAAATGTCCATGAGGCCCATTACACGAAAACCTTTGCCCTGGATTTAAAAAAAAAAAAAAAATCAGATAAGAGTAATGAAGACTTGGACTTGATGCAAGTCCTTCTAATGATGAGTTTGGTTTGATTTGGTCAGTTTGACCAATAGGCCAAAGCATGTCATTCAGTGATGGAAGAGTCAGTAAAGGTGGTCAGTCTTCATAGTTGTTTTATCTATGATAACTTTCTTAGGAAATATAACTTGAAAAATAAATTGTCAGATACTTACACATTAGTGTATTGTATTTCTAACCAAAGACATTTCAAAGAAGTGTGTGTCTTGGGACTTTGTAGTAATTTAGAAAGTAAACTGAGAAATTGTTGTTACAATTTAGAAAGTAAACTGAGAAATTGTTGTTACAATTGTCTTAATTGGTTAGGATAGTGTTCTTCCTCTTGTCTAGTTCAGCCCGTTCACAACCCACAAGCAGGCTTCCTTTGAGGAAAATCCAGCAAATGCATTTTTTTCTAAGCCTGTTTAGAAGTAGACTATGCAGATAGACATAGAACTGAATATTTATAGGACTCTGTGTGTGTGTGTGTGTGTGTATGCGCGCGCTCGTGCACGCATGCACATGCCAGAGAGAGACAGACAGAATTTCAGTATCTAGCTATAGCTAATCTGAACCTCTTGCTGTTGTTCAAGCTAACCTTGACCTTACAGTGATTATCCTGCCTCTGCTGCCTGAGGACTGGAATTATGGGCATGTGCTACTGGCCTATTAAAGGACTCTTGGGCAGAAAAATTGGTATTTTCTTAATAAGCCAGGTTCTGTGTAGAACCTGGTAGAACATGGAGACCATGGTAGAATTTGGGTTCCTAAGCCTGGCTACTTAAGCCATGATCAGTGGTATTTCCATCAGAAAACAAAGTTGATTAGGCATTCTTTTCTCAAAAAACAAAACAAAAAAACAAACAACAACAAAAGAAAACCAGATCTCTTCTAGAACAGATTATTCTATTTTGTGCCAAAGTCTTAAACAGGAGAGAGAGAGAGAGAGAGAGAGAGAGAGAGAGAGAGAGAGAGAGAGAGAGAGAGAGAGAGAGAGAGAGAACATGAGC